GAGAGTGAAAATAATACTGTTTTGTATTAAAATAATAAATTTGGGCACATATCGCAGTTAAAAATAACAAAATATTATTTAATTCAAGGTTTAAATTTCATCCTTTAATATTTAATAGTGTATCATTCGGTATAAATTCGTCTGTTTTACTATTCTGCAAAAGCATCGTTGCCGGCGATACATAAGCGGCTTCGAGGAATTCCTGTCGAAGGATCACGAGAAAAGTATGCATATGCTGGAGAAAGCGGAACGAGAAGCGAAACTGACGGAGGAGATTAGCGCCCGGAGGAACGAGCTCGCTAAGCAATTTGGCCAAAGCAGACTGGACGTTTACGTTTGGGAGGAAAATTGGCGGCTGGTGAAGATGTGCCAGATGTTCCTCTATCAGGTATCGCCCGTCGCCTGGAGGGCCAAGTACGACTGGCTCCAACGGCCCGAGTCGGGCAGAAGCATCATCTTCACCGACGCCCCGTCCACAGACCTGTTTAGCAGATACAAGACGCTGGATGAGAGCGCATCCTTGGAGAACTTGATAGGTAAAACTCGGGACAGGACATACATAGCGCTCGACACTTTCCAAAATCGTTTTTCTCAATGCGCGCAACGATCGTTTCGCGTTAGAACTATTCGAGCAGGACGTAGCTGACGCTGGCCCGGCCGAATTGTACTTCGAGGACCCGTTCGACCTGATCCGCATCTTCCGGGCGATGGAGACCCAGAATTTAAACGCGCTCATACATCTCGAATCGCTCGCCGCACCGATGGCAGACATAACTAAGACGATCACCGTAACCGAAGCGCAGATCAAACGAGAGATCAGCGAGATTACTTCGATGATCAACGATTTGGAAGTCCGTACTGGTTTCAAATTAGTTTAATAATTAGTTAAAGAGCCATTCATGAATCGGGCATTTCAATACATGCGTTAACGTATAATTTTGGATATTTAAAAAAAAAAAGATCCAACACTTTAGTGAGATTTTTAGTGAGAGGAATAAAAGGTGTTTGATTAACGTAGAACGAAAAGTGAACCATGTCAAAGATAAAAATGATTGCCGCTTTCATTGATACAGCTTACATTTTTAGAACCATATCTCTCATTTTTCTTTCATTAATCAAGCTTTCGATCTATGTTGCCTCAGTACTTATTTTTAATCCTCTCAGTGAATATTCTCATTTCAAATCTATCCGTTTTCGTTTTAAAAAAATAGATATTAAGTCTCCGACATTAACGATTAGTCTTACGAGTCAAAATATTCGATAGAATTCCATCGCTAAGGCAGAAAGCAGAGCGGCAAAGCTCGAGGAATACGCTAATTACCTTCTTCGAGATGTTTTCCGACGTCTAGTCTGCTCTGAGGAGGTACTCTATCTTCGCGTCTTCGTAGAAGATACCTACGAGAACTGCATAGGCCCGAACGACGCGAATCTTGATAGTTTCTCGATGATGAAGTGGATCGAAAAAATCTACGAAGAGCTTAATCTTCAGCTGGATAATCTGCCGCGCGAAATCGTCCGTGCTTGCGAGCGGGAAGGATTCCGACAAGAGATGAAGTCTATAAAGGAGGCGGAAGACGCCGCGAAAAAGGTAAATAATTTATATTAAACATCCATTTTTTACTCAACTATAAATGCGTCTACGGTCTTAAATTTAGCTTTCAGTGTTTAGTTTACACGTAACATCTGAAACAATTGAAATCTCTACTCTTAAACTTAATATCTTAAACAATATAATGACAGTCGATTTAATGAAGTCTATAGTCAGAAATTTAACATCTTATGATCTTAAACAATGATTACATTACGTGGACTGTCTCGTAATTATTTGGCGCAACCGATGTCTCAACCGTAACTCGCATGATTGCCAGTTCGAGCTGATGCACCGACTACTGGACGCGCTGAAGCGCATCATGGAACCGCCCGCGACGAAGAAACGGCTACTAATTCGGCGTTCGGTACCGATCACGACGAAGGCGAGGCTGCCGTCGCGAATGCCGAAACCGACGGATGAGGAAGCTCAGTTTCTCACCTTCTTCACCGATTACTGCGGACGCGAGGACTTCGTCGCGTATCGTTCCAAGTTTCCGGACGATTTCGACCTGACATTCCGAAGGAAGCGCGACGATATCGAGGCCGAAGTGGCAACGTTCAACGACGTATCTTCGAGTCGAGAACAAATCATGCGGGAAAAGGAGAAAGAGGAGGTGACCGAGGAAGAAAGAAAATGAATGGTGCCGTCATTGAAAACGTAACGGAATCAGCACATTTATTTGAAAAATTCCTCGTGCGTACATATCCGAAAGGATCGTATCAGTCTAACGCGCTACGCATCGTCGATTACTTAGCTAGCGCTATTTAATAATATGTATACATAAATAGGCGATTTAACGATCGATTGAAGCACGAGATAAAATATTCAGAGATAATAAAAACACAACAAGGGGCAAGTATAGTGTACAATAGAATTTGGAACGACAGTCGATATAAAAACAACAACCATGCCATGACAGTTATCTCTTGGCTACAAAGCGCCAGTTCACGCATTCCTTCGTTATAAACCTTATAAGAAGACTGCGATATACACTTCACCTTCGAGTACCTCTTTCTTTTTTCTTTACACGAGCAACTTTTTTTTTTATAAAATATCCTGCTAGAGATAACGTATATACATACATACATACATATATGTATATATGTATATGCATATACATATATCTCCTCTAGTAGACGCCAGAGATTCCACGTCAAATCAAATAGCAAATAAGTGAGTTTTTGGTTTCTTTCTGAATCTTTTTATACCTGTATATTGAATATAACACATATTACTGAAATGTATTTTAGTGTCCGTAATAATTTCCCCAGAAGTTCCTAGTTTTAGAATATATATGTATATACATGACATTGACGGCGGCAATAACTTATTGGTATTAAATAATCGTCAATAAATAGCAGGGCAATTAGGAACTCGAAAGTTTTTCATAGAGACATGTAGCGACATTTCGATGAGCAACATAATCCAATAGATAATTAATCGCAAACATATATTCGTTTACCAAAAAACTGCGCTGTATCAAATTTTGTAATAACAATTATGTTTCTTTAACAATAAGTCTAATAAATATGATGAGGTCTTTACAAAAAGGTATAAAACTTTACGAAATAAGCAACATCCGATTACACGCGCGTATAAATAGAATATATTGCTGTGTTGCTTTGTATTTAAAAAAAATATATGGCAACTCTTAACTCTTGCAGCAATAATGACATTCAATTTCGCTAAGTAATTTAGGACGATTTATATTGCCACAGATTTTTCGACGTTGATCAACTTCGTTGCTCGTGTTAAAATGCATCTTCGCATTTGAAATTTGTGCCAGCATGAAATTACAACTTTCCCGATTTATTTACAATTATTTACTTATATTTATTTATTTCACTTTCGCATCGACTCGTTTCCTTTGTCGCAACGATAGATCCTCCCTCAGTCGACTAGCATCGTCACACGTTTATATTTACGATCATTTTAATTATTACGTTGTTGCACACAAAATAAATCCATTTTGGCGTGAAATTGAATTTCATTTCAGAACTAAAACTCATGTAACACAGCAGTACACAATGGGTGCATTATTCCAAAGTTACAAATTTACTTGTGAATTCGTGCCAATCAATTGCAGATGACGAATCAGTATGACAAAAGAATTTGTAAATATAAAATTTACGCCTTTTATACTGTATTTTTCTGTATTTTACGTCACGTCTCACCATAGCAATAAATCAACAAGATTACCGACGAATACTCTATTTTAATTAACATATTTCGATTAAAACTGCAGACCCTTGGATATCAATAATCATGATTTTTAGTAAAGTAAAATTTATATGCAACAACCTAATAGGAACAATAATCGTTAAAATCCCCTGTTTCTCATATCCACATGCTCTACACCGACATATACTTATATGTACACGCATACACACACACATACACCTAAAAATCGACGCAAGCTCCAAGTAGTTCCAACAGCGTCTCGCTGAGAGCGAAAGTCAAAGGGAGGTGATCGCACCCTTCGTGATCACCGTCCACACCGTCCTTCTTCAATGCGCTACGTCCTCATCGCAATTGGAAAGAGAGGACGCGGTGGAAGTTGTGGAAAGCGTCGCCAAAGGAGAGGCCGTCCGCGATCGGCAATATCAGAAGACGCATGTGCAGTCTTCCGAGGCCCTGGCCTACCTGGCCCGTTTCCGATTCAATTTCGCCAGCTTGCGTCGCTTTAAGATCAGCTGGTACAGCGTATCCAAGCCTTCGTGAAGTCCTTCGCCCGTAATAGCACACGCCGGTTGTACGCGAATACAAGCGCTACCCGGCATCCCCGCAAGTTCTAACACTCCCAAATGCTTCTCCAGCTCGCCAACTTCTTTCGCACCTACGTGGTAGAGAGCTCGTCAACGAAACGAAGCTGACCGTAATTATGCCTACATTACTTCTATTAAATTTCTTCTCTATTCTATAAATTTAATAAACTATATAAAGTGAAATATCAAAGTTGCAATGCTTTGCTGAATAAATTAGCATAAAATCTTTATCTCAAGTACTTACATAAAACTTATTCGTACGTCGCTTAAAAAGCACGTAAAACGAAGTATTCGGAATTGTTCCAAAGTTGAATAAAAAGTACTTAAAACGAGGTATTCGAAATTATTCAAAAATTGAATAAAAAGTACGTAAAACAAAGTATTCGGAATTGCGAAATTTATGCATTTAATTGATAAATTATTTAAAAAATCAAATGGCTAAATGATACTGTCGTATTTATTTATGTCTTTAGAAAAATTTCTCGTGTTACCATCTGCTTTATTAGGATATCTCACAATCACGGGATATCCTTTTGACGACAGATTTTTTTTTAGACCTTGGATGGTTTTTTTACTTTTATAAGATTTTTTTTACAGTGTGTACTTCACGTCTCTTCTGAGTCACTAATTAATTTTTGTCAAAAAATCCAATATTTAAAAAAATGTGCGTTTATTCAGATTTTTATGCAATCTCTCGTAGCATGTGATATAACTTTAGAAAGACACGACGTTCGTGACGACGCGGAAATGACTAAACGCAATCGCGCGCGCTATGGTCATTTGGACCAACTGTTACCGAACGTAATCGAGTGTACACACAAGAACAAGTGTGTAATGTGCTGCGTCATATTATGCAAAAAGAATTCGGGGAAAATATGCGTTAAATAAATACGCGTCAAAAATAAATGCCCACAAAATTGAGAGACATAATTAGAAAACCAAAATTAAGTAAACGAGTACTTTTTGATTAAAAAGACGTTCAGTCCAGACTTTAAAATATAATTTATGGTTAGTTTTATAATATTAGTTGTACCAGGTAAATCTTGTTTGTTGGCGAGAATCAAGATCGGCACACCCGCATTGTCCGGACTCCTCGCTGTCCTGGTAAGCTCCATTTTCGCCTCTTCGAGCCGCTCAATGTCGCAGGAGTCAACAACGAAAATTATACCGTCGGTGCATCTCGTGTAAGATTTCCACAGCGGCCGTAGCTTCTCCTGCCCACCGACGTCCCATACAAGGAAATTGACACCTGTGTTCAAAAAAGAAAAATACTGCGTTTCAATGAGAACAAAAATACCGTAATGCAAACGCCCAAAAGTAGTGTCCGCGACTTGTTGCATTTATAATCCAACTTTTGTATATTCCATTCAATCATTAAGATCCGAGCGATTTTTATATTCTTGACAAGTATTTTTCAATCTCCGCTCAAGCTCATAATAGTGATGACATATGCGTAGAATTAGATGAGCAATATTCGAATAAAAATTAAATAGTATAGAAGAGAGGAGAAGTAGGAGAGACCCAACTTATGGAGGCTCAACTGGTGAAAAGCAAAAAGGAGGAGTAAAAGAAGAGGGGTAAAATAAGCGAAAAAACTGTATCGAAACTTGTAATATACAGCATTCTAAAAGTGCCGGATGTCCTTTTTATTTCTCGGCTAATTTAAAGTCGATTTTTATTCTTATCGAAAATGTCGAGAGAAACCATCGTTTATTGCAACTTTCTCATTTTTTATAGATCTCTTTAACTAAGAGACTCGTATTAAAATTTTATTGAAGTCAATTCTATCTGAAATTAACTGAAGCGAATAATTGCTGTCTGCTTGGCTCTTCAAAATTTAATTTGCAAAAAGCTCATTCTCTTCGATCGCGTGTAACTCGAGAAACATCGATACCACGACAATTCCGCTGAAAGGAAAATCAAAGATCATCTAGATTAGTCAAAGAGACTGCCATTAAAAGGGCAAAGACCCGGTAGTTTCGGAGTACATAGCGTAAAGAGACACAGACGGTTGAAAGGGTGGAAAATTATGGGGGACGTACCTTTAGCTTTCCCGATGCCGCCGCGAATTCTCTCGCAATTGAAGCCAATGGTCGGCACGGTGTTGAGATACTGATCAAATTTGAGTCTGTACAGGGCGGTCGTCTTCCCGGCGCTGTCGAGACCAAGCATCGCCACATGGAGCGGGGTTCCCGTGGGAAGTGCCTCGAGCAGACCGCCGGTCGTGCCGCTTCTGCCCATCCCAGCACCCATCCCTCTCTCTCTCTCGTTCTCTTTCCTCCCCTATCTCGTCCTCGCCTGCTCTTCCTGTTAAGAACTCTCTTTCTCTCGCTCTTTCTCTCTTCTATTTCGTTTTGATCCGGCCTAGCATCTAGATTCCCTTCTTCCCCTCCGCTCCACGCGAAATATCTCTCTTCTCCAAATTCAACCTTCGATGCCCGTAAAAGGACTCCGCCGCTGCGAAGCTGTGTCCACTACCGCATCGTCTGAAAAGCAAGCGCGTTCCACACAGTTAACGTCTCTCAACCGGTTTCGCGCGAAACACAGGTGCGCTGCCTAAAGTATCTCGTCTAATAAGTAGGACTCAATTTTCGATCAGGGTCAATGTCACTTTCGGTCTGACCTTTATTGATCAAACTACAGTCGAATCCCATTTTTCTTTCTCGCAATCACTTGATTTAGGAATATATCAACACCCTGTAGGCGAGCGCATGCGGAAGTGTGTATGTGTGTATGCGTGTGCGTGTGGATCGTAGAAATCTCTTTCAAGAAAAAAAAAACTTTCACCCTCCTTTTGTCAGACTTTCCAGCGTTGGTCGCGAATAACCGGTAATTCGCTTATTAGCGTATCTACCGCGCGGATCGAGCTCATTATTTACATCGTCTACATAGGTCGAAGGCAAATCCCTGAACAATGTATCATTGTCTCGCGCAAAAGTGGGCTGCGCAGCCAGCGGCGGAAGAAATAGAATAGGTCCCTTTTCGGGACCGGTTCCTCCGACGAGGTTGAACGAATCCGAATAATCCGGTTTGCTTGCTCCCTGGACCGTTTCTAGGTAACATCTTCTTCCGTCTTCATCGGTAACCAAGCAAACTTTCTCCAACGTCTCCCATTTTCCTCCTTTTCGCATACGCGCATTTCCTCCTGGTACTCTAGCGATTGCATGCAGTTATACGCATCTCGCCAGTCATCGGCGTTCTCCGTTCCTCCTTCGTTACGTATATGGCGAATGCAATCTCATCACGCAAAGAACGTAGTGCAAAGTGTTCTTATTATCAATCCTAAACAATACAGGATATTTGTGATTTTTCCGTGTATATATTAGATGTGCTGCTGGCCAAAAGTGGAATGACCACATATAAAATATTCCAATTAATTCCGTAATATGTTAAGTTATAACGCGTTATAAGTAATTTCATTTAATATGATAGACATTTTTAATTAATAATCTCAAACTTTTGGCCGGCAGTATATATACATATAATATGTAAACTATAGAAAAATATATATTCATATATCCAAAAAGAAAATATTATATACGTATATTGTATACATTTCCACAAGATAAAATGTAGTATCAATAATAGTTTGGAAATTTTGGATTCCCAAAGTAAATAAAAATTCTATGCGTTTCATAAACAAAAGTTATTAAATCATCAAAGAAATATTAAATTAACAGTTTTTTTTTCTTTTTAAAGAGAAATACCTAGTTTAATAATTTTCAAAGTAGAAAACGCCAATTTTCGGACATGTCCAACTAGGTTTATTAATTTCCTCTAAAATGTACCGCATTTGACTTTTCGACAATTCAATATTCATCGGAGATGTGATTTCTGAAGCGTACCGCTTTATATATGTCCGACTGGGATGTGCGCGTGTAAAAGGGTCAAGGAATAATACATGTCGCCAATGACACGCCGGATATACTTTTACACTATTCGACAACCGTTGTGATTTACATCTGCCCCGCGAGACGACGTCCACGCGCACGTGCAAAAGTAGGTAAATCAAATCGATCCACCGAGCGAAAGGTAGGATCGCCCGGAGAAATCTGATGTTTCGGGTCACCGTCGCACGAAAATGTGGATCAAAATTTAATGCGAAACATATATGCGTAATGCAGATCCGATATGGAAACTTTAAAAGATACATCAGTTTAAGTGGCGCGAGAGTTTGCGAAACTGTTGGGAATGTTGTCCCGCGTTACTAGTCGTTTCCAAGTCTTTGACTCGGGTGTAAACGGCGGCTCTATTGTGTTTAATGAAGCGAAATGTTCCCGAAGTGCGGTTGCTAATTCAATATCGGGCGAACCATACCGCAAACGCGTCCCGATATATATTTGCCGAAATACTGAGAGTCTTTCTCTCGTGAGGGTGATACACTGAAAAAAAAAATACTTAGATCCAAGAAAATATTTTTTCACATAGTACCAATGGCTTATTTACTTAATATAATCACATATTTATTTAGAATTATATATTTTTATTTAATTTAAATAAATTATTATTTTCACTTAATTTATGTATATTATTTTTAATTAATTTAAGTAAAGATATCTAATTCTAAATAAATATGTGATTATATTAAGTAAATAAGCCATTGGTACTATGTGAAAAAATATTTTCTTGGATCTAAGTATTTTTTTTTTCAGTGTACGGTTGTTTCATTATTTCGCAAACAGTATTAAAATATAAACGGCTCGGCATTATAGGTCTTCTCATACATTATACAAGATTCCTATGCGGAATGTTTCGTAAACATTGGGGACGTCCGACGATAGACTCCCTGGCCAACTTACAATCGATTTTTCTTGGTGGAAATGCGAAAAAGGCCTTTATTGTTGATTTATTGTTGATTTATGGTAATTCTCCAATTTTTCCACATCATGCATCTATGCATCAAATTAAGAAATCTCTTAAAGCTCCAGGAGAAATTAATTGAAGGCAACAGCTTTATTTCGACCCTCGACACCGTCCCACTCGACTTCGGAAGTAATTAATTCACGAGAAACCATCCAATCATTTGTAATTTAGAACTCACCGACGATTTGAAATTCAACATTTTCGCTGAAAAAGAAACAAGATTTATTCCGTATTAGCCACAGAATCTGTCTGTTAATCCTTTGAGAAGCTTTCTAACAAAGTAACTTATAGAAGCCCTTGTTTTCTAAGAGTGTCTGGAATCGCTGAATTTGATTCTGGCCTCAGAACTCTAAAATTCAAAATTGTGGCTCCAATATGGGCTGAAATTCAAGAAAATAATCTGATTATCGAAACACAATTTTTGGGATCGCTGAATTTTAAATAAAACGAAATTGGAAACTCGAGGCTACTTAACAACGTTAAAAATTTCCTAAAGTCAAACTTTATGATAATCAATTATTTTTTTTTAAATTCTGTTCGCCATATTGGATCCGCTATTTTAAATTTTGTATTTTTTATTTCAGATTCAAATGAATGAAATATTACCAAATTACCCCAATAGACGAAGTTTCATAAAAATCGAGCGAGCAGCTTACAAAGTGAAAGAAGGTATAGCTAATACAGCGATCGGTGCTAAACGAGCATCCGGCGATTTTGAGCCACCCTCTGTAGAGATCTAATTTATTCGACATTTGTGACATAAATTGAAACCGGAACCGCCGCTAAATAGTACGGCGATATCACGAGCGTCGCTCACGAGCGCGAGAAAGAGGAGAAACGCGAATCCTCCGCGTTCCGACGACTTCGGGATGCCCCCGGCACGGCCCGCACGGCCCGCACGGCATCGGGGATCACCGATGCGAAGCGACGGCGACGGTGTCGGTGTGTCGGTGTGCTGGCTGCTTCGATGGTGCATTATCGACTCGCGAAGACGCGCGTGCGCCACGTCGCGCCGCGCCGCGCCACACCGTTTTATGCCTCCGTATCCTCGCTGTGCGAGCGCGTACGTATGCGTGTTTACTCGTTACGTATACACGCACGTATCATGATTCTGTACATCTCTCTGTCCTCCAACATTCGTTTTAGAAGCCGCGAGCCGACCGAAATAATCTCGCACGGTCGTAGCCCGCGATTGAAAAACTATAGCTCCGAAAATGCTTCTATTCTCTCTTGCTCTCAACAACGTGAGATTTTAATAGAGAAAACGCATGCAGATCCGAGCGCTCTACGTGCCGCGAATAAACACCCGGACACAGCACGCATCTCCGAAATCGGAACGTACACTGTAAAAATTTTTTGTAAAATTATACAACTATTATAGTGGGTAATTTTGAGACTATAATAGGTGTAAATTTCCACACATTTTTAATTTGTGTAATTGTAATACAAAATTATTTTTTCCTTCCGTACTGTAATTTTACAAATTTTTTACAATGTAAGGCGTCTTAAAGATATCTTTGAGACATCTTTAAAGGCCATTGCACGCAACAAAGTTTTAGTCATAATCGTAAGGCTGTAAAAAAATAGACCAATCACAGTCGATTATTCTCCTCGTGCTTGAAGAATAATCGAGTGTGATTGGTCTATTTTATTACGGCCTTACGATTAAAATTAAAACTTTGTTACGTGCAATGGCCTTAGGCGCCTTATGTCCCGATTATGGACATGCGTGCTGTCTGGGCATACGAGATGCTATTAAGGCTACGGCACATGGAAAAACATGAAGCAGTAAGCAAATTACAATCACAGTCAAGTATCTATTCTCGAAAACTTGAGATATAAGTTGTTGGTCAATTTGCTTAATGCTTAAGTCTCATTGCTTAAGTTTTTCCACGTGCCATGGCCCTTAAGGGGCCAATCCAGACAAATTTGCATAGCTGCATAACCATTGAGCATAAAGAAAATGATCCAATCACATTTTACGCGCGTCCGTATGATAACAATGCGATTGGATAATTTTCTTTATGCATATGCATAAAGTTGTGCCAGCTACGCTGCAAGTTTGTCTGGATAGGTCCTAAAAATCCTTTCCGTTAACGCGCGGATGTTAATAAGTTTCTCGATGATCGGGCGATTGACCAGCCGCGCAGAAGCGCGGCCTAATTGGTTTACTGGCGACAGAGGAGCGCTGAACAATAACCGAGAGAGATCTCGATATCAGTAAATTATTATACAGAACGTAAAGAACGTTTCGTGTCTGAATTCGCTCCGCGAGATACTCGCGGTTCACTCACGTTTTTCCCATGAAATAGCTCTCGCTTGTTCCTTACTTATTTACGTTATATTTATGTTACAACGCGCCAAGATGCCGAGAGCTAGCTTTCTGTAATCTACGAACACCCAGATGCAGTATCTCGGAGGATGGCCTAATAACGCTATAGAGTCTCAGCATCAGGCTAAAGTATCAGATTATGCAACGGGAATCGAGAATTGCGAACTGGAGATTGGAATTCAACCGATCGGAACGACACGGATTGAAATTTAAACTCATCCGATTGATCGAATTCTAATCTTCTGTTCACAATCCTCAATTTTCAAGTCGCGGGGTCTGAGATGAGCCCATGCATAAGGCCTATGGCACGTGGAAAAACTTAAGCAGTAAGACTTAAGCAGTAAACAAATTGACCAACAGCTGTCTTGAGTTTTCGAGATTACTTGACTGTGATTGATCAATTTGTTTACTGCTTATGTTTTTCTATGTGGCCAGGACCCTGAGATGCTGGCTCGTACATTCGTTCGTTCCACCTTTGAGGCCAACAGCCTCGAAAAATGTCTTAAATTCCTCCGATGATCAATCGCTTTATTTATGCCTTAATTATGCCCGTTTATTGCGGACGATTATTCGCAAAATAAATTGAAAAGTTTCTGACGAGACTTCGCGAAAATAGATTAGCGTTAAATAGAAAGATATCCTCGACCAATTTCCTAATGGGATGGCTTATTCGCAACACGCGCGATCGAGTTCTCCTGAACCAACTTCTGAACCTAATCGGGACGTAAGCGACTCTTAAAGATAAACGACATTAAGGCGCGTCCTCGATCAGATTACGATAATGTCTCATGCCGTGCGCGAATCGTAAGAGCGTCTTGATGTAGTTAGGACGTTATTGGAGTTACCTCGCTCGAACTCTAATTAGCTTAATCAGTGATTACTTCGACCGGTAGAATTACTCGCTGCAAGATTTCTAATTATATAATTCGTGCTCTCCAAATCTAATCTTTCTTTCACGTATCAAACGACGAAAAATTAATTATTCCGTGTTAACACAATAATACAGGTATTGCTCGGTATTGCTCGATAAGTTAATCGCCTTACCTTAAATTGCCAGACTAATTATAAATCTATCTCAATGACTCAATTACAGACGTATAATTCTTGTAACATAAAAATATATTTATATATTAATCAGCTTCTTAAGTGACTTTTTATCGATTTATCAATCAAGCTCCCAATTTACCCAATTTATCACAATTTACTGTCTAAGGTTTATGGAGCAACGAGAAACGCAGTCCGCTTTATCTTGATTGATCATAGTCTGATTTATTATATATAAAATCGTGATAAATTATGACCCCAGAGTGCGTGTATAATCTTTCATAAAGCACGTAGTTACACAAATTACAACCCGATAGAGGAAGATAAATATGTGCACAGATTTACAACATATTTCGTTCACATATTTCGTTTTAAATGACGAATAAAAATATTTGCGTGTCAAACAAAAGGTTAAAAGCCAGAATATATTTTTTACTCCTGAAAAATCGTCACAGGAATATATACTTCAATAAGAACTGATGCGAACAAAATCAGATTTAAATCTAGCCTCCTCCGGAAGATTATAATTCGGAACAGGTGCACCGAAGTAAGTCGTTTCGTCTCTCTCGCGTACCATCTTCTCCGTATGGAAAGTGTAGCCCTTGAAATTGAAATTCGCAACTTACTTCAGTTCGATATACCACTTTTTTAATTATATTCTCCTGGAGAGAATAAGCTTGAAATTAAATTTAATTCGCGATATCTTTTGTCGAAATATGGTTTCACAGCAGCTCTGATAATTCGGTCGATTGACGTCAGGAGATGCGTATTCGAAAGTTTGTCTTATCTCTCATTTAATTGTTTTGGAAGGATAAGCTTACATAAATGAGTGTGAATACGTAAATAGAGAAGTCCTAAAGTTTCGTTTAAAATAGAATAGCATAATTGTAATACGCAGAGTTACATATAATTGTAATACATAATTGTTATATATAATTGTTAAATGTTATTATAATTGTTATATATATTTGTAATACAGTGACTTTTAATTATTCAATATTGAACTGAAGACAAACAGAAGAAATAAATCTAAAGTTCAAAACCAAGAGAAAAATGTCATATATATCTTAAAATATTTTCCAAATATAATATTTGATGATAAAATAATTATTCTTCAAAAGAACAGGGTACGCAGAATTGATCGCAACTTTGCAATATTATGTCGAGAGTTTATTTTTATCCCCATGATGCTTCCACTTCTTTGACCTGACATTTCACACGTGATCTTTAATGCATATATGGCTGATTATGGAAAATTAATTACTTCCACGTCAAGAACTTTCCGTGTGCTTTTTTTCTCAACTTGAAGGAAAAATTGATGAGAGCTATTTATGAAAGCGTCATGAGTCATGAAACCCGTTATGAAACTCGTCGTGAAACCCGATTAATACTTATATTAGAGAAAAAGAATGGCATTACAAAATTATACATATATACTGACAATTCTCTCTATTATAACGTAAATATTATGTAATGTGAAGAATTCAAATACGATACTAAAATACTATTAGGATATTACGAAGAATTAGAACTGACAATTAATGAATCGTGCTCTACGTATTCTATATAGTGTTTCGAAGTTATATCGCAAATAATTTATTTCTCACCGACCAAAACTGCCTCATTTCAGAAGGGAAAAAAAATAAACTCGACAAACAAAAACCAAAGACTTTTAACACATCTAATATTAAGTTTATATGCCGTAAATAAATGAAACGGTAAGGTTTCTTTTCATCTGTTATATGTTCTTACATATAACGTTTCAGAGAGCGATTAATAAACAATACCGGATGTAAATCCCATTTCTAGATCCTATTTTTAATTATTAATCTTTAAAGATATAAATTATAATAAACAATCACTTGTTCATTGGATACAGAATAATCATTAAGATGCCAGAAATGATAGAATAACGTCGATTTAAATAGTTGATGTTTCTCACAGAATTAAAATAATGTACATACAAGGAAACAACAATGACTATACTATGTAACACCTAAATAAGACTTGTTCTGTATATAATTACAAATATATGTATATAAGCGTTAATATATATATATATAATTCTCAATCACGTAAATATATTTGCAATAAATAAACATGATCTGTTTATCTGTTTCCAAAGCTTATACGCATAAAATAAAAAATCATTTATCTTCTACGTTTATCTACAGCTGTCGAATAAAAACTAAAAGCAATTTTTGGAGCAGAAATACACTCCTTTCTCATCTCTCTCCCTCTCTCTCTCTCTCTCTTTCTATTTATAAAAGAACATAAAAAAGTACATCGATGTGTAAGCGTATTGTCATTGTTCTATTTACGGTCCCGTCGAAACGATCATAATAATCGGACAATTTTCCATTTTCGCTCAATTCGTTTCGGATATCATACGATATAATTTTGATTATCCGAACGAACCTTGCTTTTCGCGTCTCGGGACTCGGGACGGGGGGGTTTACCGCGATTTCACGCGCGCACAAAACACTCCCCGGACTCCCCGGACCGTGAGCGAGGAGCCGAGCCGAAAATTTCAGGGCGCGTCGCGGCGCTGGGTTACATCTCGCCCACTTCGGGGGGATCATCGACACCGCGCGTCGTCAACACACTCACCATGTTAAATCCGGATGTGTGATCCGCATCCGCGGGCATATCGGAATCCGCCGCGATCGGCGCGAAAAGACACACCAAAAAAATTAATAAATAAAACAAGCACTGACCCACTTCCCGTATGCGGTATGCACTCGCACGGAGAGGAGGGAACTATCCGGGCCGAGAACTATCCACGGGAAGGGAACTTGTACTCGGTTACGCGGTAACGGAACTGCCGAGAGTGCCGAGTGCCCAAACACACCTACCCGAACAGCTCGAGCGAGACCCGAGGGACGAACTGACGCGAGTGCGAGTGACGCGACGCGCAGCGAACCGACCGACTCTCACGGCAGTTGACGGCACTCACGCGAATGAAAGGAGGTAACTTCTCGATTTGCCGCGCGCCGGCAGCACCGTTATCCTACATCGCGTCGGTATGTGTGCGTGTATGTGAAAATGGGCGCGTTCAGCAGACACAACTGTTGCACAACTGTTGAGTTCGTCTTGTCAACACTCTGCGTTGATTGGTTGGTTCTAAAAGTAAGAGCCAATCACGTTCGATTGCTACTGAGCGGCTTGGTCTGCTGAACGCGACCAATGCATTGGACACCGTCGACTGTCCGCCATATTGTTCAGGACACCTATGGCGCGCTTTCCAAAAATGTTTAAATCAATTTAGTATCTATATAGCTTATTAACGTACAGAAAATAAATTTAACTAAAAATTCATCTATGTTTATATTAATAGTTTTAAAAAAATCTAATTTTTGGAAAAATTTAAAAATAAACACGTCATAATGGTGTGTTTAAACAGTAGCGCGGAATATATAACCACTATCAAAATTCTTTATCCTCCTATTTATATTTTTAAATTACAGGAATTTCATACATAATAATAATAAAGAGAAGGAGTAAATAAAGTTGCAAAACAATTAAACATATTATAGTTAATTTTGTGGTCTTTGTTATTATTTTATTATACAACATTAAGTAAAAATAGTTACAAAAAGACTTTATTTAGAAGACTTTAAAGCCTTGTGTAACACGATGCTAGAACTGCAAGCTATAACTTTCTCAAATTTAAGTTTTTTTTTTTTTAATTCAAAAAGTACTAAAAATTGGCTTAGATTTTCTACATTAATTATAAATACCGCTTAATAAAAAAAAAATGTTAAAACCGAATTCAGCCAAAAGAAGTTGACTATTTCGATAGTGCCCTAATGCCCGTATCACACTAGCAATTGGCGATTGCGTCTACGTTTGCGTTTACGTCTCTCGACCAATCAGAAAGTAGCTGCTGGCGATTTTGCGATTCGCGATTTCCGTTGATTGGTCAAACGACGTAGACGTAAACGCAATCGCCAATCGCTAGTGTGATACGGGCATAACGCGCATGCCGCGCATACACGTTTAACCATCTACATTCCATCTATGATCCACGGTGAAGTATATGGCACTTGGCGGTATTTCGCGGGAGGGTTAAATATCACGTGTGTACGTTTATTTATTTCGCGAATAATTATCAGAATCCGATGTGATTCTTTTTGTTAAGTCAGTTTTACAGCTAATGTGTCGACGATCACCGGACTACCGAGGCAATTACGAGTATGTCGCGAATATCGGAGAGAATCACCGGCATTCTGAAGCTAGCCGATAGCTCGAAACTGACCGATAAGAAGGTAACCACTCTGTTGCTGCTTTTATATGTTTTTATTTAGAAAAAACAGTCCTACTTGCAGACATCCGTTTCGTTAATCGACAAAGAGCTGCTATATTATTTAAGACGACAAACTTGACAAACTTGATTTTCATAATACATACGGGATGTTTCAATTCAGCTGTTCGTACAGAATTATATCAAATTTTCTAAGAGAGTTGGTTAAGGAATTTAATTAAAAACATGTTCTGTTAGTTTCAAGACAACCTGTATTTCTTATATATCGTCCTGTATTTCTTAATCCTGTCAACTTTCAGAAATGCGTAAACGAGCTATTAGATCTGTATCAAGATGATGATGCTATCAGGGAGATATGTCAGAATACGGAGAGGAAAGCTTCAGGAAGAGCCAACTGGTCCAGTATTATACACACCGCCCACAAGCTAGTTATCGATGTAAGAATTGTATCAAAATCTACATGGAATATGCATCTCCTAATATATTTTATATCATTTGTTTGTGATTTTTATTCACCTTTTGTCATTTAACTTGAACAATATCAATGTAGGAAGCAGAGAGACCCAGTAAAGAGACGGCTGCCAAGAACAATGAGAGACAACATCTCAATAATCTGGTTATCGACACAATTCGCCGTGCCAGTGAGAGGTCAGCTGAATTTCTGAGAGGCAGTGAAATAGTCGGTATAATATTGCAGATATTGGATTCTAAGGTCTACGATCATTATCAAGACACATATCTAAGAATATTGGTGAAATATATATTGCCTAAGAGTACAAATCACAGTAATATCACAACGGAACAATGGAGGGAACTGTTGACTGTTTGTACCAAGCTGTACAAAAAGCTCAAAAGTCACATCGTGTTAGACGCGTTGCAGATGATCATAGATCATTCTTTTTTGCACACCAATTTACTTCCGCATGTGAAGAATTTGCTGTTGTTTCTGGGTACGCTGGAACTTGGTTATTCTAAACTATTTTGCTAGTATATTTTTGTTAACGAATTCTATATCGTTCAGAATTAATGCAAAGTAAAATTATTTCACGTTCTAGAAAAGGTATTTGAAGATGTGAAGACAAACAATGAACAGTTGATAGAGTCTTTCTACAAACTGAGCAGCAGTGTATGCAGGCAAATTACAACGGAATGCAGAATCGCTCTCTGCAAGTTCAGCGAGAGCATATCAATGGATATCTTACGTTTGAACGGCTCTGAGGAAAAATATAGGCTGCTGTTGATCTTCCTGCAGATTCACCATCCAGAGGGTATATCCAAACATGACGATGGCGCTTATGCATTCGACTGGGACAAATGGAGGGATTTGCTGCGTAGCATGTATTTGCTTATCCAGGAAAATTGCAAATTGGACGTGCAGTGGCACAGTTTTATTCAGTTTTCCACTGAAGGTACCATTTGTCAACACAAAACATAAATATATGTAGTTAACGTTTCACGTTAAAAAATTGCTTAAAAAATATCGATTATTTTATTGATTATATTTAGAAATTTAGAACTTTTTAATCTAAATACTAGGCTTTTTTGCAAAAAATACAACATAAATCAACTTTGAATAATTTAATTGCATAATGAGTAAACGAATAAGTTATTAATTTAACAAATATTTTTTGCAGTAATAAAACAGATAATAGATAACTCGGTAAATTTATCTCTTGATGGCTGTTATTCTCAATCGGCCAAACGCAGACGAACGATGAACAGAATTGAAAATGTTATCGATTTGCTAACGGAAAGCAGCCCCGAAGAAGTGTGGTCGTTATTAAGGATTCTGACAGAAACACTAAGAAAATATCCACAATGCTTGAGGTCGCAAGATTTCGCGCCCTTGTTGCAACGCTTAACGGAACTTGCTCTATCTCGAGACGAATCTGTCATGAACATTTTGTACAAACTTGCCTCTGTTCTCATGGAGAACGAGATGTCTAATGGAGAGGAAATACAGGACGCCACAATTCACTGGAGTAAGATCTGGGACATGCTACTTAGGTGCGTGCTAATTCAAATTTCAATATTAATTTATTTGAAAATTATTTTAAAATAATAAATTTTTCTTTAAAGAACTTTCTACTTTTTAGTATATTAAAACTTACAAAAAGATTTATGTATTATCTGTAAATATCTGTTTTTATCCATGTAACATTTATTTCCAACGTTTACATTAATTGTTGTGTTTTATAAATAGACTTGATATCAATGTCGCAATTAACATTATATCCTTGCAGATCTCTAGGAGCGAACCAAAACGAGGAGTCGGGTCATTCGTTAGTTCGCTGCTTCATAAAGTACAATAGGATACCAAATGCGAACGCTCTCCTCAGATTGTACCTGACCAAAACGATCCGCTGGTCGCCGAATAGCGTGCACACGTTGCGACAGCTGTGCGAGCGTGTCTCCCTGCCGGTGGACGCGACCACGTCGGTGCTGGACTCGTCGCCCATGACAATGACGGCGCCGATCTGTGACAGAACGCGCCTCCTGGAGTGGCTGCTGAATATGCCATGGCAGAAGCTGGCGGCACGACTGTCCATCGAGACTATCGAAGACATCTGCGAGCTGTCGGTAAACCTCGTTCTGAGCTCTCGTTACAGACAAAATATCAGGACGGAGCAGAAATTCTCGCAGAGCCGCGAGAAAACGCGCGTGATCTCTTTCGTGCCACAACAGGACATCCATTCGACAGATCTCCCGCAACTCTGTCACGCGTCTTTGACATTTAAGGTGACATTGTCGGCGAGTTCGAAGAACAAGCACGTCGAACAGGATTCCGGGGTGGTGCTTGACACTGGAAGTCCTGTCTCCTACATACACGAGGTGCTCAACTTCTTAAAAAGGCGGATACATGATGTTATTCAAGAGAATGAGAATAAAAATATATCAGAAGTCCATGTCATACTGATGAAGCTCGCCTTCCTGACGAGACTCCTGTCCGCTCTGAAGCAGCTAGGCATTCTTACGACGAAAGATGCCGTCGGCTACTATTCACTGATTGATGCGATGGAAAAACAACTGAAAACCAGCTTCGAAATGCTGACGAAAATCGATTGGGCCAGGTATTGCATACGAGCATAACAGAACGAAAGAAGTTCTTTAGTTTCTCTTTTTTTTTTTAGAAGTGATTGAAGGAAATATTTGATGCTTTTGTACTTTTTTTGTAGTTTTGCTATTAGCAGAACTGCAACTTTCATTGCAGAACTTAAACTTTCATTGTTCTTTGTTCACTATTTCCAGCTCTAAATTCTTACAAATGTGTGCATGCGTTCGATACATTAAATATTTCTTTGCAGGTACAAATACATTTACTGGCTTAGCGTAACTAGAGCATTGAAGATGCTCTATGGAACAACCTACGACACAGAAATCGCTAAGATAATCGTATTGGCATCTACAATGGACATGATAAAAAACATATTCGATCTCCTGAATCAAGACGACAAATGCGATCATTACGAGGACCATAACGCTTTTCAGGTAAACTAGGCAAGAAAACTAAGAGATTCTCGTATAACGAAGAAATTGATTTTAATGAGCGACTTTAACATCCTACTTTCTCAGGAAAGACGTAAGCGTTCCGATATGTGTCTGGAAACATCGGACTCGAAGCCCCTTCCACGCGAAGGTACGGTTCGTCTGCAGGTCGTAGAGGCTCTATCGTCTTTTTGCGCTTTGCACGTCGACACGGACTGTAACAAGACGTTGCAGAAAAAGATAATGCATAACCTGCTGACCCTGCAGCAGGACTTTACGAGCTACGTGGACTCCAGGATGTCGCTGACGATCCTCGAGTCGCTCGTTGCGCGCGACCACGGCGAGATTCAGCGCGAGTGCGAAAATGAGCCATTGAATCTTTTGCTAGACATGAGCCAGAAGGGTTGCAAGGATGAGGAATTGTTGCGATGGCTGTTGAATCTACTGCCAGACTTTTTCGAGTATGCGATCGAGCACGGTTATTCGCCTGAAAGGATCATCCACACGCTCGAGCAGATTCACAAGCGTATTTATAAGAGAAACTGTAGTGTTCTCGTGCACACAAGCTACATGAAGTGCGCATGTAGCTGCGTGCGGATCGATCAGGATTTTTCGTGGAGTCAGGTTGGCGTTGGCGACGACGACAACGTTCTAACGATACTGGACAGTATTCTCAGTTATATCGGTGATGCGCTCTTTGTGCTCCGTTCGCAAGCAGTGCGATGCCTGCAGGAGCTCCTGTCCTTCAGAAACATCGCTCATAAATGGAAGGAACGGATTTTCGTCAAAGTGGAGGAAACAGTATTCAAGTTGCTCGACGAGACGGCCCAACAATCGAGTTCTAATGTACAAAAGTATGAACATTAAAATATGATACAAGAAGATACTAATATCTGACACTAAAATAAATTAGCAATATTTTTTATAAATTGCTTTTATAAAAACTTGTAATATTTATTTTTATAGCAATACTCGTGTGTACATGGTTTAGAATAATATGTCGCTGCGAGTACCAGCACTTGTAATTCCTTTTTTGTTTGTATCGATGAAATAGCGACGATCTCGTGGAGAGTCAACTGCGGGATGAAAGAGAAACCAGGACGGCTACTGCGTTGATCGCGATGGCCTCCGTAGCGTGCGCCAGTGGGATTCTTCAAGGTCGCGCCCTATTTTCGATATTGCGACTGACGACGGAGAAGAAGGTGAATGTGCAGACGGTGCGGAAGATTCTCTTGGCGGCGGCGCAGCACACGAAGACATACGTGTCGCTCATTGAGGATAACTTGAACTATCTGCTGACTTCCTGGATCAAGCATTATCCATTGCAGAGCTTTCCATGGACGCTTGCGGGTAAGAACGCGTCAAATAGCGGTTTTATAAAAAAAATTCAGTTATTTACCGACTTAATATTATGAAAATTTTTGATATTTAGCATCCATTAATATAATTAAGGATTTTTTAAGGACTTTTATTAATATACGGTCCTATTGGTTTTATAAGATTAAAGAAAAAATATTGTATACATATACAATGTATAATATAAACCCAGTATTTGATCTAATACTGCGAATTATTTCAATATTTAGTCCTTGATGTAAGCTCGCTAAATTGAGGATCGAACTTATTATTGTCAACAGGATGCGAGACTATCGACGAGTTCTTTAAAAAGAATGTCAACTGCATTGTCCCAGTTTTATTGCGTACTTCGAACATCAACGAAGCCATGTCTTTTTGCACAAATACCGGTGTGGCCTTCAACAAGATCTTCGAAGATGTCTTTCCGTCCTGCTTCGTGTGGCTGATATCACGCGCTATTGAATCCGATAGTGAAGCCGTCGATATAATATGCAAGTTGATGAACAACACCGACGAGTTTGCAGACACGCCCAAATTCAGACAACTATTCTGTTCTCGTCTGCAGGACGTTCTCGTAGAACTGATACGTCGGCTGCACGATGAGAAAGACTTTAGACGCGTTCTCTCGATTTCGTCCACGCACTTCCCGGCGATGGATCCGCCGCATTTCTTACGAGATGTTTTGGATCTGTGCTTTGATTATCTAGAACTGCACACCTTACTAAACACGTGCACGCTGGTCGACCAACAACCAGCGACGCTGCAAAAAACGCTGTTGCAGCTTGCGATTGCCATACACTCGTCACGCTCTCGCGAGGGTAAGCTCAAGCGACTGCATCAGTACATATACTTCTGCTCACGGTTGACGCTTGATCTCGCGAAACCCGTTTTTGACGAGATGGCCGCGTTCCTGATCCGGGATGTGTGCTACAGCTTATTGCATCTAACCAGGAATCGTAGTGACGGCGACGAGACGTTCATCGCAGCATGTTGCAAATTCCTAGATCTGTTCCTAAGACAAGCGCTGCCCGCGAGAGCCGCGGAGATCCGAGACGTTCTCCGGTTCATCGTGGCGAACCTGATTGGCCTGGCACAATCAAAAATGAGCAACGTCAACGAGATTGCCGTGAGTCTACTTAGATTTCTTGTGGTGGAGCAAAGAGACGTGCTACGAGAGGCCATCGCGAAACTCGGCTCGTTCCCGAATCACGAAGTCTTCCGGGATGCGAGGGAGGCTTACGACACCGCCAGATTGGAAAACGGATCTGCGTTGTGCCTCGAAGACGAGCTGGAGCGTTTCCTGGACGCTATGAGCGAGGAAAACGCCGAGTGCACGCTGGAAGATCTCGCGAATTTCACGCAGCAGCTGTCGACGAGGAAAAGTGAACTGCGGGAACTGCACCGAAAGTTGGAGAGGCCGTATCCTGAAGATAGTGCTAATATCCTGCATCAGTTGATATTTAGGTAAACATGTGTTTTATATTACAGTTAATATTGCATATAAATTATTATTCGAATAATAATACTCGAATTATTATTACTCGAATAATTACTAGAGTATTATTATTCGAATAATTATTATAAACTTGAATTAATATTGTAGGTATATAATTGTTATTTAATCTCTTTTTCCTTGATATATTTCTATTGTTATCTCACTTTTCATATTCTTTATTCCATCACACAATATTGTACATTTTTAAAAATTCAGACTCATCAAGCTGACGGAATCGCCTAATCCGCGCGTATCGATGGAGGCCACCAAATGCCTTGGCGAACTAGGCCCAATAGATTCCACAGTGGCTCTGCGACCGGCCGGAAGTCTCGTCCGGGAAGCAGACTACGCGATAGAGGCTCTGACCTATCGATCCGTCGCAATGTTAACGAGCTTTCTTGTGGAGAACTCAGTGGAACTTCGCAAGGTTTTTATCCTGATATAATTATATAATGAAATCTTATGTTATTTTGTGCCCTTATTGCAATCATATTGGATTGTAATGTTATGAGCAAAAAAAATCTACATTCACATCAAAATATTTTCCTAATCTGTATTTTAATCGGTATTTAAGTATAGCATTTCTCTTAAATGTGATATTTCAAAAACACTAGACTAAGTAATATACTTTGATATTTGCTGAAGGTTAGCGCCGATGCCCTTTACGCGGTGCTATCGACCTCCTATGGTCAGAAACTATTTGACTCCAAGTACTCAAAGGACCTGTCGAATATTCTCGAGTGTGCACCTCTGAAGATTGACTACATCCGTCCGTTCGCTCGCGGCCGTTGCAGCAAGCAGACATCCTTTCGCGTGGACGCCGCAAGATTTCGTGTCATCATGAATCCAGAAAACGCGCTATGGACGGTCCAGAACAGCGAGAATTACGCCGAGTGGATTATCAACATCACCTGCAGTGTCGCCGAGTGCTTCCCAGACTCCTATTTGGAGAACTTCCTGTTGGTTTGTCGACTCAGCGTCGAATTCTGCGAGCTGATTCTGCCGAGAATCGTTTATCTCGTCATTCACAAAAACGACAGCTTCATCGATGCCATGTGCGACTGCGTTAATAAATTCTTCAGGTATTATTAATTTGTTATTATTTATAAGCACTTAAACGGAGGATCTAATATCGTGAGACGTTTATTTGAAACTTAACATAATCTAAATATTTTTGTAAAGCTCTGCGAAGTATACCGGGAGCTTTATCGTCTTTCAAGTGACAATGTTATTTTAAAGAAGTTTTAAATGTTTCAAAAAGTAAAATTCGGTGCATTTAAAACTTCAAGATTTGATACCAATCATCAAATTATATCAATTGCTAGGCAACACTTTGCGATCAACGAGACGGAAACTACTGCATCGCCGATGTCGAAAGGCGACAGCTGCGATCAAAAGATCGTACGCCGCATGTTGGACGTGGTGAACCACGTGCGCGCCCAGCTGCCGGACGGCGCGATCTTAAGACTCGATTACGTCTACCTGGCCAGAGCGGCGCACAAGTGCTCCGCGTATTATACGGCCCTGTTATTCGCGCAACTCGCCTGCGGATTAATCTCGACGGATTACCCGGACTTCAGCAGTGACCCGAGGATCGACTACATCTACGAACGCCAACCGGAGGTTGGCCGGGTGCTGCAAAACATTATGCTGGACACCTACCTGAACATTAGCGACCCAGACGCCAAATCCGGCGCCGGATGGTCGCATGTGCTTGATCACGACTCCCGCGTACAATACTATGCCCGTGCCAATCGCTGGGACGAGGTCATGCTCGCGCAGGACATCGAGTTGTCTAACCACAATCACTCGACGCTGGCAAACGCCAGAACGGAGATGGCAAGCGCGCTACACCGTTCGGGACTGCAATTTCTTCAGTGGCAATTCTTGGGCGACAGCCTGGATGAGAAATTTAGGTGCATTACGTATTACAATTATATGCATTACAATTATATAAGAATTTGCAGACAGAAAGATGAAGTATGTGGTTGATTTGATAGATTGCGTATGAAAATTTATAAATAAATTTCTCCCTCTAGTTACGAATGCGCCTGGAGACTCAGCAAATGGGATCTGCCCGTCAACGAGGCCACTGTTGCCAATTATAACGATTTCCAATCTCAGCAGTTGCGACTGGAGTCACTGGAGAACGCGTTCCACATTCACCATTATAATGCCTTAAAGTGCTTCCACGAGAACGACCGGCGGGGCACGGATCGGGGGATCAAGTTTGGCCGCAAGAGCGTGATTCATGAGCTACGAGTGATCAGTCCGGAAAGTAGCAAAATTGTCAATCAAAAGCTGTCGCAGTTGCGGCTGCTGCGCGAGATCGAACAGTTGAGCTGGGCGGCTGACTCGCCGGAAACGAGATATTCCGAGATTTTGCAACGCTGGAACGAGCACGAGATTAGTCTGATCGGTCAATTCGACCACGTGGAGCCAATCCTATGGCAACGCATCACTATGTTCCGCATCCGCGAGTCCTTGTGGACAGATCCAAACGTGCAGGAGGCATTTTTTGCAACTTGCCTGGACCTGGTAAAGGTCGCGGAGGGTCAGGGCAATTTCTCGGTGGCCACCCGAGCGCTGAGAACTCTTGAGTTGCATCAAAATCTGCCCATGAATCTGAAGAATCAACTGCTCTATCAGGAGTCGCTCTTGACATGGATGAATGGCGAGCAGATGATGGCGCGTCATCTGTTACGGAGCCTAATCGAGAAGAAGAATCCGAAGCCAAGCCTGAGAGCCAAGGCTCTGCGAGTCTATGGTGATTGGATGGCGCAAACCAAGTCGGAGAATCCTCAGGCAGTGATACAGAAGTATTATCTAGCATCCATTGAGATCAGCGAAGCTATCGACGAGCAATCGCCCGATGTTATCAGAAACTTGCACGACACACAGGTGGGAGAATAAAATATTCTAACGTAAAGTGAATTAATTGAGAAGTTGCGTATGTAACAATAGCATAAGTCGACTTATATCATTACTATATAAACTTGATTTTCTTTACATAAAGCATTTTATATTACTTTTTTTGCTCTTTTGTTTTAAGTTACTTAAATTTTGAGCTTTATTTTTGTTGTGCGAGTTATTTATTATTGCAATCAACTTTTTAATTGATTAAATTAACTTGTCAGTAAAAAAGAATTTTTTCGGTGTATTTTATATACTTTTTTCGTCATAGGTTGCACTGGCGCGCTTTGCCGATGCGCAATACCAACAGATCAGCACGTACATGAACTCCCCAACATACAAGGCACTGAAAGAATACGCTCGTAGCAATACGGATAAAGTGGACCATGCGCAAATGATGAGGAATCAGGACCTTAAACGCGCCGTGATAATCAGCCAGAAGCAATCGACGAACGACGCGGCCGAGTTGAAGAACATCGAGCAGGAAAAGCGCAACTATCTCGCACAGGCTTTAAAGTATTATCTAAAGACGCTGCGCAGCAGCGAGGAACACAATCTATTAATCTTCCGACTGGTGGCACTCTGGCTCGACAACATGTACGATGATGAAGTGAACGAAGAACTGCTAGACGAGCTAGACATCATTCCGTCGTTCAAGTTCGTGCCGCTGGTGCCACAGTTGGCCGCTCATATAAGCAACGATGTCAGGCAGCAACGTAGCTTCTCCGCGCGAATCTTCCGGATTCTCGAACGGTGCGCCCTAGAGCATCCGTATCACACGCTGCCTGTGGTGCTGGCGCTGAAGAATCTGCACAGCGACGACGAATATGACCCGAGTTCAACAGTCACGAAGAAGGAAGAGCGTCGCGTGCTAGGTGCTAAAAGGCTTCTCAGCCGATTGACCGATTCCTCTGTGCGAACAATCGTTCGTGAAATGGAAAGTCTATCGCGGGCACTACTGAGTTTTGCCTATTGGCAACCCAAGGGTAGATGCTATACCAACAAAGGTTACCCAATACCGCGGGATCAGCCAATATCCAAGGTATTTTTTTCGTCGTTACTCCGATAGCTATCTGGAAAGAATAATCATAAATCGCGAAATCTGATTCTAAGGTTAATTAATCTATTTTGCAGATCAAAAACTTGAACAACGTTCTCCTACCGACCCTGAGTTTGCCTGTGAGACCATCGGGCAATTACGACAACGTAATCGGCGTAAGATCGTATCAGGAGTCCTGCGAATTCGTCGGCGGTGTGACCGCGCCCAAGAAGATCATCTGCGTCGGCACCGACGGCGTGCAGCGCCGGCAGTTGGTCAAAGGCAAGGACGACCTACGGCAGGACGCAGTGATGCAGCAGGTATTCACCGTGATAAACACGCTGCTGCGCACGTGTAAGGAGACGCAACGACGGAATCTACGTATCAGAACGTACAAAGTGGTGCCGCTGACGCAGAGATCGGGCGTGCTAGAATGGTGCGACAACACGGTGCCCATCACGGCGGCTCTGGTAGGTAGCTCGAGCACGCCTGGGATGCACAAGAAGTATTATCCGCGGGACTTGACTGCAGAAGCAGCCAGAGACAAGTTGAAAAATGCCGCACAAGAATCGAACGAGGTAAATAATAACTAAAAATCTTTCCGTTATTCTCAATTGTTAACAGACTGTTTTCAAGGCGTAAATTTTATTACAATATATTTTAACAAAATAATTCCTTAAGTTTTTTTTATTTATTTAATTTAACATTTGAAAATTTAATATTTTTAGAAGACTAAACTGTATTGACTTTTTAACAATTCTGATATTAATCATCTTTCTTCAAAGAAAGCATGAACAATATTTTAATTAAGAACGGTATTTAAATTAAATATAGTTTTTTTTAAGAACAGTATTTGAATAAAAATGTTTTCCGTTACAATTACAGAATAAAATTGAATTTTTAGATCAAGATCGTTCGAGATTTCGTTTTCAAACCTTCAGCCTTTTATCTTCTATTGTCTTTCGGTTTGTCTAGGTGAAACTGAAGGTCTTTCTCGAGTGCTGCAAACGTATGAGGCCGGCGTTTCATCACTTCTTTGTAGAGAAGTATCGATCGCCCGAGACCTGGGTCGAGAGGACTCTTACATACACGCGCAGCGTCGCCACCACATCTATCGCGGGTTACATTCTGGGTCTTGGCGACCGACACCTGAGTAATATTCTCATCGACGAGCGCACCGCCGAGGTGGTGCACATCGATTTTGGCGTAGCTTTCGAGCAGGGCAAGGTCCTGCCCCTTCCCGAGACAATTCCTTTCAGGTAAGTCATCATATACTATAAATCATTTTGCCTGCGAAACTATATATATATATATAGGAATTTTTTTAATATTAGATTTTTATTATACTTATCAAATATTCTCGAAACCTTTGTAATCTTTTGTCAATCGTTGTGGTACTTTATTGTAGGCTAACCAGGGACATCGAGGTTGCCATGGGCGCCTCTGGGATCGAGGGCACCATGAGGCGCAGTTGCGAAGTGACCATGACAATGCTGCGCGATCAGAGGCAGATTATCATCACGCTCCTTCAAGTTCTGCTATACGATCCGCTCTTCACGTGGGCAATCACGCCGGAGAAAGCCTGCAAGATGCAGAGCGACGTCGTAAGGGGTTTGTCGGAGAACAGTGGCCGAGGTGAGAAAAATTAATCGAGGCAAAACGATGAGTTTGAGTCCAAGTTGAGTAAGACTATCCTGATTAATTATGACTGACGTCCTAATCCGCTAAATTTTCACCTTCTTTAGCGCCTGTGGAAACCAACAAGATCGCCAAGCGGGCTCTTTTGAGGCTCGAACAGAAACTGCGGGGCACCGAGGACGGTCTGGTGTCCAGCGTTTCCGGACAGGTCGAGAGACTCCTGCAGGAAGCGCGAGACCCCGCGAATCTGTGCCGAGTTTACTGTGGCTGGCAGCCATACTTGTGAATACCAGTAAATAGTTTTATATCCGCGACGAATACTCGTAGAATAAGTTTTGTATGTTGCTTAATGGTGTAATGTACATTTCGAAGTGTCCTTTTTATACTTGTTGAAGTAAAGTTTTATCAACATTCCGAACTCCCGTCGTTTCGTGATCCCCATTCGTATTAATGGCGCCTCAGCAGATCGAGAATCGAGATACCGTACAATCGATATATCACGCTGCTATCTTTTCGGCCGCGCGCGTACTTGAAATTTCGAATTTGAAAGGCAAAAGAAGGATAAAGGTAAAAAAAAACTCCGAGAAATTTAGTCGTTACATAATCTGATATTGCTCCAGCGCTTAATTAAGTGACGTAATGATCCGCGCTACGTTGATTCCAGAGCGAAGGAAGGAAAAACGTATCTTTTGTTTGTCAGCGCGGGAACGCGCTGTGACGATGCGGAAAATCTCTAATCGGGCGAGAGTCACACGCGGGACAGATTAATTGCGATGAGACGGCAAAGTTCGCCTTCCTAATACTCATTTTCGTCTCGCGTTTGTGCGCCGGGTCGCAGCGAATATAGTCATATAGGTCTACACAAAGGTAATATAACAATAATAACTTCATTGAAATGCGAATTGAGGACAATTAAAGCGTCGCAGAGAGCCGCGCTTTAAAAGGCGCGATAAGCCCAGATCTATAACGATGATAATAATAATAATAATGATGATAAATTTGTAGGTGTAGGAGGTACAGGTCTACATGTAGATAATGATAATGACTGTCGAGGTGCGAATATAACGAGGTGATAATTAGAAAGGAGAAGAGAGGCGTCGGAAACAGCTGCACCTCTCGAAGGTGAGGCAACAGGCAACCGCAGGCAACGGCGATGAGCGCCGCGCCGCTCGCTCGCGCGAGTCCAAGCCTATAATGATAATAATAAAGGTGTAGGTGTAGATGTAGGTGTGCGGCGTATGTAGCGCGCAACGTCGCCGTCACGCCGTCACCGTCTCCCCCGGACTCGTCATCGATTGCGCGCGCTCGCGGCGCACTCGGGGATCGCTCGCCAAGTTTCTCCCAGAGGTAGGCCCGTCAGGCCCGTGTAGCCGTCACCGCCTGCGTCCTCGCGTGTCCTCGCGGCCTGCAGCGGAAGAGAACGGTACGCGCGGGGCTCGCCAATTTTCGAATCGAACGAGAGAGAGAGAGAGAGAGAAAGAGAGCGAGAGAAAGATAGTGGGACGGAAAGAGATAGGTGCGAAGTGGAGCGAACGAGCAGGCGGGCGGGTCCTGCCGAAGCGTCGTCGCCCGTCGTTGCCACGAGAATCGTTCCCGGAGCGGGCCTCGTGGCCCAGGATCGGGCCAGTCAGCCAGCCAGCCAGCCACTTATCGGCCGCCATCTTGCTGCTCGACGAGAGAACGGTGACAGACGGGCCTGCCTGCTGTCGGAGCGGAGCGGAGAGCGCAGCGCGGTGAGTGAGGCGAAAGGGTGGAGGGGAAGGAGAGAGAAGGAGACAGATATAAGGTAGACGACGGTCCCTTCATGCGGTACGCGCCTATGCCATCCCGTCGCCTATGCCTCGCTCTCGCTCCACGTACAATCGCAGAAGAAGCTAGTTGGAACCAGCGGAGAATAGCCTAAGAAGAGGTGGTGGCGGAGAGGGAGGTGGTGAGGAGTATCGGCCGTGCCGATACCACCGTCGAGTGCTAGGTACATACACATACAAAGTTGCGCGAGCGCGCGCGCGCGCGCGCACACACACACGCACGTACCTTCGTCATCGTCGTCGCCGTCGTCACCGTCGCCTCCGCTCGCAATGGCAATGGAGACGCCGAGGGAGCGAGAGATCGCCGCCGAGGACAGCATCAAGGTGGTCTGCAGGTTCCGACCGCTGAACGACTCCGAGGAGAAGGCCGGCTCCAAGTTCATCGTCAAGTTCCCGTCCGGCGGCGATGAGAACTGCATCTCCATCGGGGTACGTGGGGCGCTTCGCGCCTACGCGAACGTCGGGATCCGCTCCCGTTCTCCCTTATTGTTGCATACATCGTGTGTAGATACGTTTTTCTATATAGATGTTGTGTATATATAGATCCGTGTTAGATCTGTGATTCATAGTTT